AACTTACACTTTGTCGTGAAAAAACTTACACCGTTGCTGAAAAGTTACTCCTTTTGCGAAAGAATTTTTGTCATAAGATTTATACCTTTTTGAAACTTACACCTTTTCTGAAAGCTCAACTTAAACCTTTTTCTGAAGTCACTTATATCTTTTGTGAAAAAAAAAATTGATGAAATTTACACATTTTGCCTCAACTTACAGCTTTTCGTGAAAAAACTTACATCGTTGCTGAAAAGTTACTCCTTTTGTGAAAGAATTTTTGGAATAAGATTTATACCTTTTATGAAACTTACACCTTTTTTGAAAGCCCAACTTAAACCTTTTTTTGAAGTCACTTACATCTTTTGTGAAAAAAAAACATTCATATAATTTATATCTTTTGCTAAAATTTACACATTTTCGTGGAAGTGCTTATATCTTTTCTGAAAACTTACTCATTTTGTGAAATAATTTTGAAATTATTGTAAGTTCAAAAGGTGTAAGTATTATGTGTAAGTTGTCAAAAAATTCAAAAGGCGTAAGTATTATGTGTAAGTTGTAAAAATTTTATGAAATAAAAATTTTCACATATGGTGTAACTTTCAGAAAAGTTATAACTTGTTTTACAAAAGATGTAAGTATTATGTGTAAGTTGTCATTCACATATGGTGTAACTTTCAGAAAAATATAACTTGTTTTACAAAAGATGTAAGTATTATGTTTAAGTGACAAAATTTTATGAAATAAAAATTTTCACATATGGTGTAACTTTCAGAAAAGGTATAACTTGTTTTACAAAAGATATCAGTATCATGTGTAAGTTGTCATTCGCCTATGGTGTAACTTCCAGAAAAGGTATAACTTATTTTACAAAGATGTAATTTTTTTTACAACTTACACATAATACTTACGCCTTTTGAACTTACAATAATTTCAAAATCATTTCACAAAATGAGTAACTTTTCAGAGAAGATATAAGCACTTCCACAAAAAGGTGTAAATTTTAGCAAAAGATATAAATTTTACAAATTTTTTTTCCCACAAAAGATGTAAGTTACTTCAGAAAAAGGTTTAAGTTTGGCTTTCAAAAAAGGTGTAAGTTTCATAAAAGGTATAAATCTTATTACAAAAATTCTTTCACAAAAGGATAACTTTTCAGCAACGATGTAAGTTTTTTCACGAAAAACTGTAAGTTTAGGCAAAATGTGTAAATTTCATCAATTTTTTTTCCACAAAAGATACTTCTCACAGGTGGTTTAAGCATTTCAACGAAAAGGTGTAAATTTTAAAAAATAAATTATTTCACAAATGTTTAACCTTCCACAAATAGTGTAAGTGTTTTCACGGGAGATGTAAGTAACTTCGTAAAACCTGTAAGTTCTTAAATCCAATCAAACTACATTTGTCTTCTTCAAATAATGGCAATGTGAGAGAGAATGGCATTTCGGAGGGCTTGGTCTTTCTCTCAGTAGAAGTCCATTTCAGAGAAGACGAGTTTGGGAGGGCTTGGAATAGCGACTCCAAGTCCAAATCCAACGAAGAATGTCAATGTAAAAGAGAACCGTTTTAAATATAGAGCAACGAACAGACAGAGAGAGATAGACTGAGATCTACAGACAAAGACCTAGATGGACAGTGATCGATAGAGACAGCCAGACCAAGATCGACAGAGAGGGACTGAATCGACAGAGACAGCCAGACCGAGATCGACAAAGAGGGACCGAATCGACAGAGACAGCCAGACCGAGATCGACAAAGAGGGACCGAATCGACAAAGATCGACAGAGAAGAGACCACATAGACACAGACAGACCAAGATCGCTAGAGACAGACTGAGAGAGACCGACGTCGACGGCCGACATCGACAGAGAGAGACCAAGATCGATAGCCAGAGAGAAAAAAACCTTTGATTTGCGGCGGCGATGGCCGTAGAAGTGGCTGTGGCCATGGAGGCAGCGGTGGCCGTGGAGGTAGCGACGACAGTGAGCAGCGAAGGCCACCGACGCCTGGGTGGTCAGCGGGGGTCACGAACCCTTTGATTTGTTCAGTGGTTGTCCCAATTTGTTTATGAACACTTTGAAGTGTTACTCCTTTTGTGGTTATGAACACTTTGAAATGTTACTTCTTTTGTGTTTATGAACACTTTGAAATGTTACTCCTTTTGTGAAATTACTTTTTTCATAAAATTTATACTTTTTATTTAAATTTACACCTTTTGTGAAAGCCAAACTTAAACATTTTTCTGAAGTCACTTATATATTTTATGAAAAAAAAAATTCATCAAATTTACATATTTTGCTAAAACTTACACCTTTTTGTGAAAACAGTTACACCGCAACGGCAAAGTTACTCCTTTTGTGAAAGAATTTTTGTCATAAGATTTATACATTTTCTTGAAACTTACACTTTTTGTAAAAGCCAAACTTAAACATTTTTCTGAAGTTACTTATATATTTTTTGGAAAAAAAAATTATCAAATTTATACATTTTGCTAAAACTTACACCTTTTTGTGAAAACACTTACACCGCTGCGGTAAAGTTACTCCTTTTGTGAAAGAATTTTTGTCATAAGATTTATACCTTTTCTTGAAACTTACACCTTTTGTGAAAGCCAAACTTATATATTTTTCTCAAGTCACTTATATATTTTGTGAAAAAAAAAAAAAAATTCATCAAATTTACACATTTTCTAAAACTTACACCTTTTCGTGAAAATACTTACACCGTGGCAGAAAAGTTACTCCTTTTGTGAAAAAATTTTTGTCATAAGATTTATACATTTTCTTGAAACATACACCTTTTGTGAAAGCCCAACTTAAATCTTTTTCTGAAGTCACTTATATCTTTTGTGAAAAAGAAAATTCGTAAAATTTATATCTTTTGCTAAAATTTATATGGTGTAACTTTCAGAAAAGGTATAACTTGTTTTACAAAAAATATAAGTATTATGTGTAAGTTGTCATTCACATATGGTGTAACTTTAAGAAAAGGTATAACTTGTTGTACAAAAAATGTAAGTATTATGTGTAGTTGTCAAAATTTTATGAAATAAAATGTTCCACATGTGGTGTAACTTTGACAAAAGGTATAACTTGTTTTACAAAAGATGTAAGTATTATGTGTAAGTTGTCAAAAGTTACGCCTTTGGTGAGCAATTTTACAAAAGTTGTAAGTTGTTAGAAAAGTGTAAGAACTTTCACAAAAAAGTATAAGTTCTCACAAAAGGTGTAAGTTTTCACAAAAGCAATAAGTTTTCACAAACGGTGTAAATTTTCAAAAATCTCTTACGCCTTTTTCTGAAATTACTTAGGCCTTTTGTTAAAATTTACGCCTTCTGTGAAAATTTACACATTTTGTGAAATTATTTACACCTTTTCTGACAAAATTACACTTTTAGTCATATAATATATTCTTTTATTCATTTACCTGTTAGCAGGTCACCAATGTGTTAGTTTTCAAATATTTGGATATAACTCAATACCCAAAAAGGTGTAAAGGTAACATAGAAAGGTGTAAGTGCCTTGCATACTATATGCCTTGCATACCATATGCAAGACACACATAAGAAAAGTCCTATTTTGAAATATGAATTATCACATTACCTATATATGTATATATGTAGAGTATTTATTATCATAGCTATCTATGTATGGCTATTGTCTAGGATCATTGAGATCTTTACTAGACCTTTGTGTTTATCCTACTAATCATTTTTCAAGTATAAAGTGAAAACTTGGTTACGAGGCGTTATAATTATAAGTGGAATACCAATGTGTTGTAAAAAGGGTTAATCCCTTTTCTTATTTTCATTTATTTGTACTTGATAATGTAAGGCTATGTGCGTGTAGCGTAATTCATTGCATGTAAAGGAAAAGGAACATTATAAATTATTCATTTTTTAATGTTTTCATATATTTATTATTATCGAAATGGACTGATTAAAGGATATGGTAATATTATTCGAGTAATAAAAGATGAGGCGTTATAAGAAAAATCAGGTTTATTGCTAACATGAGACTATTATTGTATAGTACAATATTAGTATTATTATTAATTTTTATGAAAAAATTAGGGATATATCGTTTTAGAGTTTTTTTTCTTGGAGTTTAATCCACCAAAAAATTACTTGCCAGTTGAAAACTCTAAAATTTCAAATTTTAAAAGAACAAGAATTTTTTTTGTGACATAAATAGTTGAAAATAGTCTTACAAACATAAAAACCCTGGAATACTTCTTTCTCTTTCTACTGTACTATTCCTTCTCTACCCTAGATGTGGATTGTTCTTGCCATTTACTATTTCAAACCACTGTGTTCCTCAACCACCTCTATTTGTGCCCTTATCAGTCCAAACCTCCATTGTTGCTCAATGTTCATCACCAGTTCCATCACATATGCTTCTAACATTCTATCACCACCATTCTATTTGCCAGTTTGGATTTGTATACATTTCTCTCCATATATCTCTTTGTTCTATTTTCTTTCTCTCTTTATATATATATATATATATATATATTTTCTATCAAAATATTGTGATTTCATTTTTGCACAATTAATATTCACAGTGATAGTGAAATTTCAATGCAAAACTACACTCTATGATAGTTGATTTTCACTGTCAAATAGAAATTTCACCAAGTTATGAATTACATAAATAAACTTATTAATGAATTTTAAATGAATTGATTGAGTAATTCAAAACACAAAGAAATCTCACTAAGCAACTGAATGAAATTTCACTAAGAAATAGAAAATTTTCATTTAGCGATAAATTGCACTGTGTTTGGCATAGTGTATGTCAAAGAAATTTCTTGTGTTGAAATAATATAAATATCTCATTGATTTTTATTTAAAGCTCAACTGAAATATTTTGTTCAGTTTTGTTGATTTAAATTGTCTTCACATTTGAATCTGTTGTTTGTTTACAGTGATATTAAGAGTGAAATTTTACTTCACCTAAAAAAGTTGTTGAAAAATCATGTTGGAGAGTTAAAGCAAAAAAATCTTTGGCAACCAATGGAGGTTATTGGAAAATTATCCTAAACCAAACATGTTCACATAAATTACTTTTTACAATAAATACAAGCTCTAAGCGCCAATATTGAAGACACACAAAAGGGCAAAAAAAGAGCATTCAAGAAAAAGAAATGTAAAATATTCTTGAAATTTTTCACAACAAAGCAAAACAAACTCAACCAAAATAGAAATATAAAAAAAAATTGATAAAAGTAAGAATTGAAGTCATTGTTTTTATTTGTCGTGAGCAATTGATTTGGGCCTTTTCACAATTAGAACAGGGCAGTTTGCCTTCTGTGCACAATGATTGCTCACACTCCCTAGAAAAGCCCTGCATTTAAATTAACCACAAAAAAAAGTTAGTCAATTATTTCTTTTCTAAAAAAGTAATAGTAAATTTGGATACCAAATGATCTGGCTTTTAGATTAGATAAGGTCTCGTTTGGCAACTGAATTTTTTAATTAAAAAATTAAAAAGTTATTAAATTAGTTAAAAAGTTAACAATTCATACAAAAAAGTCAAAGATTCTCTCTTTTCTTTACTTTTCACATCTTTTCGTAAAAAAGTCAAAAAGTCATCCCAAATATACTAATTTTTTTTAATTCATATTTTAGCCAAATAGTCAAAAGTTACTAAATTAACTTGTTTCCAAACGAGACCTAAGGTAATGTTAGGAACACGAAGTTTTTTATTAAATAAATAATCAAAATATCTTACATGAGTGTGGAGTCTGTAATTTTATGGATCTCACATCCGTATAAGACATTTAATTATTTATTTAATAAAAAATTTAAGACTTACAATATTTTTCAAATAAATAATGCAATGATAGATTGAAGTGGTAAGATACTTTAAATCCATGGAATGACTCATTAATATGATTATTGTAACACTATTGTTAGCCTAGGGCATCCACCACCACAAATCCACCCTAATAATCTATTTTATTTATTTTGTAAGCTCATATGTGTAAATAATTTATAATAAAAAATAATTAATTTAATAATTATAATTACATAATTTTATCAATAAATAATTTAAAATTGGACACAAAAGTTTATAAAATGAATCACTCTTTTTTTAGTTTTTGTGTTTTTTCATCTTTATTAAAAAAAAAATCATATTTTAATTATTAAAAAAAAAGTAAATACATCTAATCTAAGTATACTTAAAAAGTATATTATTTACAAAGAAATCTTAAAAATCTTTACTCAATAAAAAATAATGATATGTATTGTTTACAAATATGTTACTTTTTAAGTGAACTTAATTCAGATGAATCTAAAAAATTTAAAATTTAATTAAAATATATAAAAATTAATAAAAATAAAAATTAAAAAACTCGACCGAGAATAATCCAAGCGCATAAATTATGATTGGTTCAAATAAAATTAATTAAGTTGAAAAGTGAGGGTGGACCTACCTCTTGATGAGACCATAGCCATGGCTTCCCAATACCACCATATCAACGCCCAATTTCTCCGCGACCTGACAAATCACATCTCTTGGATCTCCACACTCCACTCTCGTCTCCACCTTAACCTGCAATGCATGCAACCATACAATCCACAATATTTAACACTGACTATTTTACGCTTCACAAACCCACCAAAAAACACAAAGAAAAAGTATCAATTCAATCTTTATTTTTCTTTTAATTATATCAATTTTATATTTAAACTATTTAATTTTACATCAATTTTATTACACCGTCAATTGTAATTTATAATTAAATAGAAATTATTGATGTGAGACGCAAATTTCATTTGAAATTTTATTTTACCTCCAAATTATCTCAAAATATCAATTAAACCCTTAAATAAAATAAAATTAGGAAGTAAAATAAAGTTTTAAACAAAATTTCAGGGGTACGTCAATAATTTTCATTTGATTATAAACTGCAACTAGCAACCAACAATAGGAAAAATTAATCCAAAATCAAATAATTTAAGTGTAAAATTAAAATTATTAAAAAGAATTAAACTTTTTTTTTGACTGATAATTTAAGGGATAAAATAAAATTTTCTCTAAAATAAACAAGAAAGAAAAGAGTACACACATCAAGATGGTGAACCTCCTTGCAAAGCCTCTTGGCTTTCTCCATCACAGACTCAGCCAACTCATTGGTGTACCTGTCCATGGTCGCCATTATATCGGGCGAGAACATGTACCCTGGAAAAAACGATTCGCAATTTACTAAAACACCATTCAAATAGATGTCCTCTCAAGGAAAGATTAATATAAAATGGAAAATTACATTCATGATATTTGTAATTTGACTATTGTGTTTGGAAAGTTTTGAACAAGTCACATTTAAATTTTTTTTTTTTTGTTTTGTTTTGAGTTACTTTTTCTTTTTTTAAATTATATCAAAATACTTTCTTCGATCCACCTTGTGTGTCAAATTTTAAAAATTCCAAAAAATAATGAAAAAGTCAAAATAAACCCAAAAAAATTCACTACTTGCAGCTTATTAGACGAAAAAATTAGCCCATAAAAAAATATTAAAAAAAACTCCAAACATTCGATTTTGGGATTCTATTAAAGAGTCGTATTAAAAAATAAATAAATAATTATCATTTTTAATAAATTTATATCAATTTAAAAAAAAAAAACTAGAAAAGATTTTTCAAATCCATCTAATATACAAAGATCTATAAAATTAAAAAAAAAATCACTAAACACAATAAAAATAAATTAGTGACCATTTTTTCCTTTTTTTTTTTTAACTTTTTCTAATTTGTCTGTTACAGAATAACTTAAATTGTAATATTTTTTAAAATTCAGTAAATACGAGGGTTCTTTTGAAAATTAAGAGATTATTTGGACTAATTTAAATAAATATATTTTTTACTTTTTACGAAACGATATGAAATATGATAGAGATAAAATGTGATCAAAATAAGCGATAATTTAATTCAAATAACATAAAAAGAAGTACTATTTTAACACACATCCCAAGGCCTAATTGTTGTGGTTGACTTTTTAATTTTTTTTTAAAAAATAATAATTTTTAATAATAATTTTTTAATTTTTTAACTATTTTAATTAATTTCCCAGAGGAGAGTGAACAATTCATATCATAGAAGTGTGTCCTAATAGATCCCAACTAATGGATCCCACTAAAAGGCACAGTAGGAGGCCCCTAATTCAGGTGAGGGAGGGAGAAGGGAGGAGAAAAAACAATGATTCATCCCACTAAAAACATCACCATTAATAATATTAATGTATTAAAAAAATAAAAAAAAATAAAAAAAATATAATTTCAAGACCAAAACATCATATCATTAATGGTGGAACCCACTATCACCTAATTAGTGGGAGCACTTCCCACGCATTTTTCGAGAAAAAAAAGGTGGATCTTGATCCAATAAATAAGCCTTATCATGAAATTAGATTGAAATTTTAAATAAAATAATCTACTTAACCATTGAGAAATTGACGTCCATTTAAAACGATCTACTCATTTTCAAATAAACCCAATTATAGCGACTACATTAAATAATGAAAATGATTGGTGGCCCTAAAAAAATTGGCCCTAATACCTCTAATTTTTATTTTTGGAAACTGTTTTTTTTTTCTTTCTTTTTTCCTTTTTTTTTTTTTTTTTTTTTTTACCTAAAATGGCATTTCGGGGCATTCGAGCCCCGAAGCCTCGGGCCTCAATCAGCGCCCATTAAATAAATTGACTCGAAATATTAAGCTAGCACAATTATAAAAATTAAATTGACACAAAAATTTAAATTAGGTAACTTCAAGTGTAATTGATCTGAAATAAAATTAGCCTATAGTTTTGGCCTACCTGTTCCGTCGATGCCCGTGTAGACGGGGCGAGGTGGTTTGGCATAGAGAAGGATGAGGGTATCTTTGGAATTATGAGAGACGAGGATGTTGTTGAGACACCATGAGAGAGCATACATGCTCTCTTGTCCTTCATCTACGGCCACCAATATCTTCCTCTCCTTTGCTACACACACTGCCATTTTTTTGAGATTGATCGAACGGTTGGAAATGCTTACTTATATTCTTCCGCTATTGTTTTTTGGTTTTGAGAGCACTGTGTTTGTTGCGATTGAAGAAGGTGGGGTTTATATATTACAGTGGAACACTCAACATTTATGATGATGATGCGCTTAGAGTTAAAAAAAAATTGAAATCTATTGGCGGTTTCTGGTTTTTGTCTTTGCTGGTCTAGAGGTTTCTGAAATGAGGCTGTGTTTGGTGGTTTTGGAAACAGTGGGCCTTTTTAATTAGTTATCCGTATTAAGATTTGTCTAGCTCTACTATGAATGAAAAATTAAACTTAAATAAATTACCGTAAAAATAATTTTATACATGCTAATAATCTTATTAAAAATATAAAAGATTAAATGTGATTGATTATTAAAAAAAAAAAAGTAATGATATTTAAATATCCAATAATATTTGAGTAGTGCTACATGTATTAATAAGTGTATTAATTAATATACTAATACTAGTTATGATATTATTATTGACCCTACTCATTATACAAATTACAAATATTAAAGATATCTTAAATTATGCTGAATAATGCTATATGCACCAATTTATATACTTACTAGTACACAAATTGATGATGTGACATAATTTAAGAGGTTTTTTATATTTGTGATATAATTAATAAGTGAGGTCGATAATAATGCTATAACTAGTGTTGGTACATTAATTAGTACACTAATTGATGCATGTAGTACTACCGTATTATGCTGAATCATCAGTCAATACACCAGTTAATGTATTAATTAGTACATATAGTAATGCTCATAATGTTTGGATATGTATATTTTTAATAAGATTATTACTAACAATTTAGGTAGACGTAGGATTGCTCCTCCATAACGCATATATTGAACTTTTAGGGAAATAATGTCATTTATTTGGTAATTATGATAGTACTTTACCACTAAAATAAGGGAAACAAAGTGTAAAAATAATCACTAGATAAAGAAAATTATTGTCCTAAAAAAAATCAATAATGTAAATTTTCCTTCTAAAAAATAACTAGTATTTCATGTACTTTACACATGATCAGATTCTGTTTAATTCTCATGACAAAATTCTAACAAACATTGTAAAGTGTAACAAGATAATAGTTCGAGATAGTTAATTATTGCATTTTAAATTTAAGGAGGTAAAGTGCAAATGAGTTACAAATAAAAGAAGTTTACTATAATTTATCCCTTAAAATTTTTATTTTTCAAAAGATTATTTAAATAGATTATTTGTGTAAGAAATTAAACTCATCAGAAGTAATGCATTAGAACACGTTTTACTTCCCAAAAAAAAGATGATTTATTTTAAAATTATATTTGCCATTTATTTTTTAAGATAAATGTGTCAGGATCATGTAATTACAATTGTCTAATCAATCGAATTTTTGAAATAAATAATATTTTTGAAAAATCCTACAAAAGATTAATTTATATTGTCGGGATGGATCCCATAACGCACTCGAAAGAGTATAAATTATTCCAGTTTCGTTTGACATTGACTAATAGAATCAACTTTTTTATGTTGAGACTTTTTTAGTTTTGTTTGGTTTGGATTTTTTGATTTTTTTTGACTTTTATGAGAGAAAAAGTATAATAATTATATATTAGATGTGATATTTTATTTTAGGGGTATTTTTTTTCAGGTCCCTGATATTAAGATTTTACAGTATGAAGGACATCAAATATTCTCATAATGTCTAAGGTCCCTCAACAATATTTTCATAATGTTTAAGGTCCTTCAACCTTGATCCAGAGAAATTTCAGTCCAGAGAAAATTGGTCCAGAGAAATTCTGGCCCAGAGAAATTTAAATTTCTCTGGCTCAAATTTCTCTGGAAAGTCTAGAGAAATTCTGAATTTCTCAGAATTTCTCTGGTCCAATTATTCTCAGAATTTCTCTGATTTGAGGAAGGAAGGGAAAATAAACGATCATAACAGTAAACTCACATCCAATATAAGGGTATTTGAAAACTGAGCATACACAAAATTATTGCATTGAGTAAAATCAAGAAACAAAATTCAGCTCTTTTGAAATTTCTCTGAGTTGAGAATTTCTCTGGACCAAGGAAGAATTTCTCTGGACTCACTTTAACTCAGAAATTTTTTTTGAAAGCCAGAGAAATTTTCCTCACCAGCCCAGAGAAATTCACTCAAATCAGAGAAATTTCCCATCTCCAAATCACTCAACCTAGAGAAATTCACAACTCAAAAATTTCTCTAGTCCAAAACCAGAGCAATTTTCTCCAAACCAGACAAACCAGAGAAATTCTCTGGATTGAAACCAGAGAAATTCTCTCTATTTACAGTAAAGTTGTATTTTTATGAACAGAACTTGGTGATTGTATATTGATCTAGGAAATTTCTCTGACTTCACAAATTTCTCTGGCTCTATTACAAAGAATTTCTCTAACTTAATGAGGGAGACGACGGAACTGCTCATAGTCCTTTGACCCATTTTTGTTGAAGTTTGTAACTAGACTATTCATCATTCTAGCTATTGCTTCCTTGAATTCACCAGGTTGGTTCCTTTCTACCTTATTATTAGTATCTTCGACGACTCTTTTGACCACAGACCCAACTTCAGCACCCTCCATATAAGCTTTACATGCTGACAGAATGTCATGTGCTTGAAGACGAAAATGCCCAGCAACCCAGAGGTCGGCACGTGTACGATTTCGGAGACGTCCGATTCGTCCTACCCGCCTTCTCTCAACTCCGATCCGATCTGGTCAATGCACTCGTCGACCCATTTTGGCATTTCAGATCTGGGCATGTCGAAGTACCGTTCTGGGGACGAGGAGGAAAAAGACGATGAATTGAGGTAGCCAGTCAATCCAACTAGTTTTTCATACTCATAATCAATATACACAGTATTTCTCTGAGATTGGGGAAGTTTGGAGAGGATTCGGAAGAGAAGCTACATGGTTGAGAGCTTCCTTGTTCTTAAGCCAGAGTTGAGACCAGCTTAGAGATTTCTCTGGTGAGCCAGAATTGGATCCCGATCTCACCGATAAACGATTCGAACAAGGAGAATCTTCATCTGGTCAACACCATTTCGGCGAAGATCGAGTCGATCGATGTGTCCCTGGCGGAGGAGCTGAGTGCGATCTGCCAGAAGATCGAACGCTTGAGATGAGATTGGACAGAGAGATGACGGAGAAGATGCCGAGAGAGAGGCATTTGGTGATGGAAACGAATTTGAAGGAGATGGTGAAGAGAGGTGAGGTCCAGAAGCTGCTTGAGATCGAGGTCGGTAGGTTGTTTCGGGTAGAGAAATGTTTAGGGACCTCAGACATCAAAAAATAATTTTATGGATCGCTTCCATTATGAAAAGTGGGAGAGGGACCTTAGACCGATTTTCTCTTTATTTTATTAACTTATTTAGCATATTCCGGCATTTTATATTTTTTTAGTTTCAAAATAATAACCAAACCAGGGCCTCGGTATATCTAGTGTACCACATCATCATACTAATGTGATGTGTCAGACTAATAAATTTTAAAAAAGGTAATAATATTTTTTTTTTTGAATTAATAACACATTGATAAAGATTCTAAAATTTCTTCATATATTGATTTTTTTCCTCTATATATTATGCCTATTGATTTTTTTCCTCTATATGTTACGCCTTTTCCTTTTTTCCTCCTTATATTGTTGTCCGTTGTAGAACATACTACTGGCGTGATGTGTGCCCACGGAATAAACGAAAGAGAAATAGATTACCTGGTTTCAGACCCATCTTGGATTTTCTTTTTTCTTGTTTTGATAAATTACATTTATCATCCTTTGAGATTTAAAAGTGGGAATATTTTAGATTTTGAATTTTTTTTATATTATTTTTTTCTTTAGTAAAAAATCACATTTTAATAAAAAATTACTTTTTTAATGTAATTAATCTACATGCATTTAAAAAATAAAAATATTTGCGAAAAATAAAAAAGAATGTACTAACTACTTGTTACCTAAATTAATTTTTTTAAAAAAAATCTAATATAATTATATAAAACTTAGAAAACTTAATATATATATACATATATATTTTACGCAATTATAAAACTCAAAAGAATTTAATGTAATTTACGCAATTATTTTGTAATACTATTGTGGACTCAATTTTTTTTTTCTTCCTGTTTTTTTGAACAAGTGCAAAATGGTGGTGTTTGGCAAGTAGTTTTGGGGCTAAAATAGCCACAATAAATAAAATAAACTATTTTAGTCATAACAAATAAACTATCACATTCAACTCATAATCATTACACTATTCTCTCATAAAAAAAGTCAAAAAAGTCAAAAAGCCAAAAAGTCAATCCACTTCCCAAACGGAGACGTAATGATTGTGAGTCTTTCCCAAACTAAACTTTGCCTCCGTTTGGGAAGTGGGTTGGCTTTTTGGCTTTTTTGACTATTTTAGCCTGGGCTTAAAAGCTTGGTTTGGGAAGGGCTTTTTGGCTTTTTGGCTTTTTTGAGTTTTTTTTTAGAGAAGAATGTAATGATTATGGGTTAGATGTGATGTTTTGTTTGTTATGGCTAAAATAGCCTATTTTGTTTTTTGTGACTAAAATAGTCAAAAAAAGCCCAAACTATGGCTTTCCAAATTCAGGTTAAAATAGCCAAAAAAAATTAAAAAAACAACTCACTTCCCAAACGGAGGCGTAATAGATTTGTAAAATCACCTCAATAATGTGAGTGACTAGAAAAACAGGTTTATGGTTAGGAAAGTTACATGAAACTGTTGTAAAGTAGAATTTACATTTAAAATGAATATGATGCCACATTGATTTTTGGATAAATTAATTCGGTAGTTTTTAAATTCAAAATGTTGTCATTTTAATTTCTATAATTTTAATTGGTTCAATATTGATTATGAATTTATGTTTTCTACTTAATTTGATCTAATTAATTACAAATATTAGCATTTTTTTAATAAAAAAAAATATACACCTATGAGTGGCATGTGTTGTACTTTCAGAAGCAAGATTATAAATTTGATCAACTTAATAAGTTAACCTCAACCAACTCAGTGATATATATTTTTATTTTTTTTCAAAAACCTTAACGACTTTATCAATT